TATCATTTTCAGCCATAATAAATTCTGGACAGCTACGTGTAGAATGGTTTCATTTTAAAATGTATGCGTGTGTTAAACACCTTCTCGAGGCGCACCAGGAGCATCCGAGGGTAAACCCCGTTTCCCGCCAGGCTCACACACAGGCTATGCTAAAGGTTTAAAGCAGGAAAAGGTTTATTTGGTCCTACACGTTTCCCCATCCAAGTCATATTTACCTAACAGTGACACAAAACGTTACCTGTGTGCTAAATCTCCCACACACCGAGGTTCAGTCACATAAACCAAAGTGTCCAATTCCATTTCTGAGAGCTAGTGTCCTGCAGCTTTTACACGCATCCTTGTTCCGACACACCTGAACCAGATGAATGGCTTGTTACCAGGCTTTTGCCAAACTTGGTTTCATGCTAAAGAGGTAATCCAACCATTAGATTAACGCTGTGTTGGAGTAAAGATGCATCTAAAAGCTGCAGGACAGCAGCTCTCGAGGACGAGCTGGACACCCGTGACATAAACGTTGGAGGAACAAAGCCTGGAGCGCGAGCTCACCTGTGGTAGCTTCGAGAACGCTGTGACGTTCACGCGCTGTCCTGTGCTGCATTCAAGGACTGCAGCTAAGATGACCCAGCCCAAACTTTATTTATAAATCACCACGAGTTATTTCTTATCGATCTAGTCTGAATTTCACTTTAAAGCTAAAATAGATGTACTCTTTGGTTTCTGTTATATGTAGATTTAGGGGCCGTGCAGTATTTAGAGCACTTGCCCTCCTTCTCCATAAAAGAAACAGGTAATTAGGGGTCGATCCTCTAAATTTTATCCCCAAAATATGATTTTAAAGTATTTCTTCATAAACCCACTGAATCTTTTCTGGAAGCTACCTTTACCTTACAGCAGTGATGGCCAAATGAAGCTTTCTGAAGCTTGTATTGAAAAACGGTTCATTACAACACAGTCCTCTCTGGTGACATCTGGTGGCCAAAAATATGAAGAGCAGCTTGAATCCACAAAATAAAACCAACTGCTTCATTATGATTGCTCACTCGACAGAGTGGAGTCCTGTCTGATATTGGGCCGCTGTTGTGTTGCTTTGAACGTGTATTTTTTGGTGGTTAAAAAATGTGTTTTATTTGTTTAACAAATAATTTTGACCAGTAAACTCTTCTTGTTTAAACATGCACCATGGTGTGGTCTTTCTTTGCCTGTGACTTCTTGATGTTGGTAAATACAATAATTGAAAAATACCACATTACATATAATATATACATATAATAATGTACAACACATTATGGAGTATGTTTCTGCTGTGAGGTCCTGCCTCCATGCACGTATGCAATTAACTGCTAGACGGGTATATTTATAAATAATATTACATTAAGGAAATATTCCCAGACATATTTTTGACCTGGGGGTAGAATTGATTGTGAACTGGAAAGGGAAAATGCTTATGAACTTTGCATTTAAGGTAACCCTTTTTCATTTTTATTTAAGAAGAGAATTTGTTCCACTGTGCGATGGCCGAACCTGTTCCTTTTTGTGGATGTTATGTATGTTTGTAGTAACTCACTGACGTCATTGGGTGAGAACATGGATTGTCATTTTCAAAGGTGATAGTTTCAGGTTAACAAAGAAATAAAATTAATCCACAAATTTGTTAGAAACTTCAACACATACCAACCCTTCTGAAAGCAGCTGGCTTCCTTTTGTCCTCAGGTGTGTGTTTGGAAAGGCCCGAGACTGGGGGGGGAGGGGGGGACAA